CACCAATCACTAAATCCATTCATAGCAAATTGAGAATTAATTGATTTAGGACTGAATAGTTTGCAAACAAAACAATATACAAAGCTGACTTATGGAGAATGCAGTAGCCACTCCCTCTTATTTTTCACCATTAGCTTTGCACCCTAGAAATATATTCTGGCCACAGAACCTTGTTTGTTTACCGTCCAGAAATTTTCAACACGAATTTTCAAATGGTCTACTGTGATGTTAACAGTCACTTGGCCCACTTTCAACCCAGTAGTTTACATCATTAGAAGAAAAATTATTCCTCAAAGTAGGATCTGTATTTTTGTTGTTTATGGAGTCTGCAGGTGCAACATTTTAATATTCTAGAGTAGTTTCACTTTCTATATCATCATTAATTTTTTTACTACAGCAAGGATGGATGCAGAATTTGGAAAAAAAATTCTGTTATATTCATATTGCTGTTAGTAATTTCAGCACTAGCAGAACTTAATACGGTGATTTGCATCCGTTAAACTCAAGCATTCAGTGGAAGAAGTCTCTTCTGATTCACTGTGTTTTAAAAGGGAAGTTAATTTTGGAATTGTCTTTAGGGATTCACAAATCTTTTTCTTTTTATCTTCTGTGAGTTTTTGTTTTTACACTCCACTTAGTTGTTGCTGCTTCATTTTACTTGTATACAAAATTACATCATTTTTAAAATTTGGCTCTACTGTAGCAAATAAATTTGAATAACTGAAAATAAAACTTACCAAAAAAGTAAATTTTGTAAGATAAAATTTACATTCATATTTGGACTTAACACAAAAATTTATATTTGAAAATTGGTAAGTAAAAAAAATTCATTTGGAACATGTAATTTTGTTCTTTAGGTCTGAGATAGTCAAAAGAAATAGTACTTGCAAGGCAGTTAGAAATAATTTCATTTGTTTATCATACAGTGTTTGTTGGTGGGCCCTTCACAGATCTCCATGAGTGTTATTGATCTTGAAATAATACTTAAAACCTTGTGCAATCACTTCCGTCCTTTGATGCTGCACGTTCATAGTTCATTGGACTATTGCTGATACCCGATGGGGGCAAGAGCGATCGCAAAGAGCACGACACAGATATAAGGGTGTGCTCAATCTGAAGACGTGTTTTGGTTCGCCTTGCCCAGGACAGGACCATATAAATCACAAGTCATGTGATTATAGTGCCACTGGTGCATTCTTATGTGGTCGATGAGGGAGAATTGAATATGAGGGTATACCTGATAGGTCCAAAAGGAAAATATAATTGTTATTGTATACAAAGTTTATAAAATGTACATTTTGTGGAATTGTTCAACTCCCACGTTCAGAGATAGTACATAACCGATGTAACATTAGCACCACTTTTTAATGAGCAAGTTTGTTTCACGAGTTATAACAATATCAATCAGTTTCTTAAAAGAAGGTCAGTCTGAAGGGAAATGGAAAATAAAATATATTTATATAATTTTTATTATCTAAATATTCATTTAATTT